AAAAAAGTCACTGACTCATTTGCGATTAGCTGACCTACCATTACGAAACTTTCCATCTTGCATTCAGTCATAACAGAATTTATTGTAAAATACTAGATATTTAGAGTCCATGTTATTTTCAAGCAATTATTCTTTTTACATTCATGACACATTCATAAACACAGCTGCATCGGGTGTGCTTGATGAAAAGGAAAAGCAGCACACTGTATCCTGTCCCCTCATGCACAGCCATTAGCCCTGCTTTCTTAGTAAGTCTTAGCATGGCCTCTTGACTGCAGATAGGAGGAGGATTATCTTTCCTTTTCAGTGCATCCTGAAGTTCATTCTGGGAGCCAAGGTTTCATACCCCCAACAGCACAGGATTTGTGGTTCAAAACTACCTAAAAGACATTTCTGTCTTCCCCACATAATGCCATCTACAACCAGGAGACCCAGCACAGTATTCTCAGAGTTCATTTTGTTCCTCTTGCTCATAGATGAAAGTTTTGCATTCTACAAATTATGAAGTAGCAAATTATCCCAGCTGAAGCTGGGGCTTTCTCTTGGCGTTTGTAAGGGGTATGAAAGCAAGTAATTCCCCTGTTATAAGTCGCAACCTCAGTTTCACAGTCTCAAAGGAAAATTGCACTGAGTCAGGATGGCAAAGGATTCTGTTATGGTTAACAACAGAGTAGATCAATTATCGCATTGGGAAGAAAACAAGAGATAATCATTGCTGTATTATGGCAAAAGTCTAGATTAATCTTGTTGTAAGTATATTCTTTAATACAAGAATCTACAGTGACTTCAGGTATAAATCAATGGGTAATAAAGACACAGACCATGATAATTGGTATCAAGTAAAACACTACTGAAGACAAAGAAGAATGTTTCTAGCTTGGCCTACATCTTGCAGCTCCACAGGTGACATAGAGAAAACAGAAAGTTAAAAATGTATTATTTGTGTGGTGTGTTTTTTTCCCAATGACCCATTCTGGACCTGACTCCTGCCATCTCAAAGCATTTTGTACTACAGTCATTAGTGGGACATTTGAGATCAACCAGGAAAAACAAGTTATGGATTTGACAGTTATGGAAAAGGGACTTTTACTTAACTTGAGCCAACCTAACTAATGGATTACATCATGTAGCAGGAGGAAGAAAAGAGCCATCTTCTGAGGACTGCTCACCTTCTGTCTTAAATATTTATCTTGAGGTTTGATAAATTCTTCCAGTGGTTGTAGACAGAGCACAGATGACTCACTTTTATTAGATGCCTGACTTTTTGATAACGAAAGTTAGGTGAGATGAATTCAACTCTGAAGCTGTAGCGAATCACAAGACAACTTGTGTCCTCTGTATTCATGACAGCAAGAGCTTTGTTCATGAAGAAGTTCAGGCGAAGGCAGTCAGCAGGCACTAGCATGAAAATGACTTTCATATATTGCCAGTGCAGACCAGGAAAGGGGCATCCTAAATCTATTAGCTAGTCTCCCAGTCATTGAAAATATGAAAATTGTTCAACATTTTCTGGAACCTCTTATGTTTACTTAGAATACTTGAAGGTTGGTTATCTTTTGACAGAGTACCCTGTCCTCAATTAATGAGTTAAAGGAAAGAACCATGATCCTAAATTCAAATCACCTCATTTACAACTTCAAAGTTTGAGTTTCATTGTTGCTGGGCACTGGCAGCTCTTATCTTCAGCAAAAGCTTCTGGAAAGCCAACAAGTCTGCAAACTTGAGTCTTCTGCAAAGGAATATAAGGCTTTCTGTGGTCAGTGCCTAAGGTCTGCTGAATTTTCCCACTGAAAAGCCCTTCTCTGGGGTGAAAGATGGAAATTCAGATGATCTTGTATGGACTTGTTGCCAGCGTTGCCAATACAGCTTATTCTGACAGCTGTATTAGCAGTACCAGTTGAAGTGTTGACATTCCAGTACGGTGCTGCTGTTTACCAGCCCGTTTCAAGAGCTGATAGCACAGCTAAATCCAGTCTCTGTGGCGATGAGAAGTATATCCTAAATAAAGCATCATACAGCTTTGATGTCTTCCCTCTCATCCGCTAACTGGCCTGTCTTCCCAGGAATCAGTGGAACATGCTAAATCACTAATTACAGTATGTTGGTCAAAAATAGTCTTCCCTCTCTCCTCTCTAATTATGAGTGGCCAGCATGTGGCTTTTGAGCTGCCTGAGGCTTGTGAACTACTCGAATATGTTTGCCAAGGCAGGGCTGCCTTCCTGGCTGTGGTCTGACAGGAGGCAGCAGAAACTCCTGATGGAGACATTGCTGTAAGCACCTTGGGCTCATGCCACAGTTGTTTATGCAACTGATTAACCCCAGCCCCATCCAGTACTGGAGGGATGTAATGAGACCTTTTGGGAATCACTGCCATCTCCCTCCTAGGAACCTCTTCTCTCCATGACCCTCCAAAATATGGGGAAGTGGTTTTACAGTCTTCAGTGGTATCGAGTTTTGGCATGCAGCTTGTGAGGTTTGTAAGCATCAGAAGAGATGGTAGTCCTACTTTGGTGACAGCTTTCTAGTTAAGAAAATATCACAGTGTCAAAAAACTCGAGGTAATGAAATTTTAAATTATCACACTTTCTGTAGAAAAGGTATAAAGGTGTAAAATGTAGAAGCTCTGAAGATACATGGCTGGTCAAGAGGAACAAGGATCCTAACCATCTCTGCAATGCAGATGGATGACAGGAGGGCAAAATAGGGAGAGCCATTTCTTAGGCACAGCACACAGATGATCTGCTCCTGTTAAGACAGGCAATAAGATAAATACATGTTAAGCAAGCACACATAAGCACAGTTTACTTTCTGTTGCTGGGCAGCCTGTGGCTATAGAGGGCAAAAGCTGTTCTCTGTTTTCCTGCCTATCCTGTCCTCAGCACATCTTCTCCTTAGTGGGAGGCATTTGTTGAACAACTTTGATTTCTAGTTTCCAGCTGTCACTGTGAACAGCTGGGGAATGGAGAGATTCTTCTTCTGCCTGCCTCTTTTCATAAGTTCTCCAAGTAGCTGCTCACTCTGAGGCCAGATCATACTATTTTTCTGCAGAAACTGGCAGGATGGCTTGTGAATGTTCGAAAGGGAAGGCATCTTTCCAGCAATAAAGATCTTTTTGCTCTCCTCCCTCAAAACTCAGTTGAGTGAGCAGAAGTCATGACATTTTATACTCTGTTTTTTACTGAATAGCAAGTTTTCAAGTAAAAGCTGTGAGAAAAAGATTAGATGGATTAAATTTATTTTTCTGCTCTCAGATATACCTGTAGTACCTAGTTCTTCGATAAATTAAATCAATATTTAAATGCAGGGGCTGCTTTGCAAGACTTTCTCTGACACTTTGGTTTGACTGCAGGCACTAGTTATCTGATATTCCACCTTCAGTATGTTACCTAGTTGTTGGAAGGCTGCTAATTCATATGATTTTGGTTTTGTTAAACATGGAATTGTGATACTGCCAGCCCTTATTTTAAAATTAAGTATGTGGTAGATAATTCTTTAATTTGTTTTTCTTTGCTTTTATTGTAGTACCCTTTCAACAGCCCAACATCAAGAATGGAGCCCTGTTTGATGAGCAGTACTCCAAGGCTGCATCCCACACCAGTGACTCCTCGCTGGCCAGAGGTCCCAGCCGCAAACTCCTGCTACACGAGCCCATCCATGCACTCCACAAGATATGGAAATTCTAGTGACATGTACACCCCCTTGACTACGCGCAGAAATTCTGAATATGAGCACATGCAACACTTTCCTGGCTTTGCCTACATCAATGGGGAAGCCACCACAGGTTGGGCTAAATGAAAATGACTCCTATCAGCTAAGCCCATATACTTAAAAGAGTTATCAAAACTTCATGTTATGTGGGACTTTTCATGGACATTCTTCAAGGAAGGTGAAGATGGAAAATATCCTGGGCAGATAAAGGTAGTTCATAATGTGGGCAGATTGCAGACCAGTATGATTGAATGTTCCTGTAGCTGACAAAGATTTTTGTGCTATTCTAGACCACTTTTGGGGCCAATCTGTGCCTTTTTTCATTCTGGCATGTGGGCCAACCCTGTGTGACATCAGTTTGAGTGAGACATTTTTGCCTCTCTCTCTTATTGACAAATGTTAACAAGTCTTACAAAAAAGTGCTGGAACGGGACCTATTTATAATTTGAATTAAAGACAGGAAGTTCACCCTCAGCAAAACTCTATCATCTGTTCTTATTTTAAACTCTTAAGGCATTCCTTAAACACCATTCTGCCAAGTCATCACTTGTTCATATCAGTTCCTCTGTCTGGCTCCTTAAAAGACATGTGTTATTGTAGGTTTCAGTTTACACCTAACTTTGTATATTGATGCACCTTTCTGTTGATCCATTAAGTTTGATCTTTACAAAAGAGAAGAAAAGACATGTAGCATTGAATTATACACTGCCTTAAGTTGACTATTGTTCTTATTATATATGTATTTGTGTTAAGTTTGCACAATCTGGAAAAATCTAACTCCTCCGGTCAGTAATGACAAGGTTAAGAAGGGACTTGGGGACTGGGAAGATTTTGGATTCAGAGCCACATATGTTAAATATGATGATATGAAGCAATTATGTAAAGAAAATGACAATGCAAACATGATTATTCACTTAATTACCTATTGACAGGTATGAAACTGTTCTTTCAGTTCCTTCATGTGGTGATAATTCTATATACTTCTACAAAAGCAAAAGTCAAAGCTGTGCCTTTGAACTTATTCTGTACTGTGTATGTGTGGAAAAATGTATTGTATTTTGGGGAGAATTTTTCTTAGACATTTTCTGTCAGATTTGTAGCTATTTGTGAGTTTTTGTTAGATTTTATTAACATAGCTTTTTCTTCTGTATTATAAAATGCACCAAGCAATTATGGTGGACCTATTACCCTATGGGTAAGAAATAAATAAATGGAAATATGACATCAGGCATTTTAGTAATTGTTTTGTAAATAAAATCTTTGATAGCACCCAGTGTGATGATAACCATGTTTATGCATAAAATGGACATAAATGTTATTTGTACAGTTGTGCAAGATATATGAGGGATTTTCACACTCAAATAAAGTTCTTGAAATTAAATAGATGCCATTTAAATCTATGTAAATACAGAAACTTCTACAAGCTGCAAACCTTCAAAAAATCCTAAATGTCACTACGCATTTTTTTATCCAATGAAGAACTTGAGGACATATATAAGTCACAGCAAATGAGTAGTCCTACACCTGTGCTTGCAGCTACCAACTGTTCAAGGCTCAAGGCTATGACCTGATAGATGACTCTGTGCTGCTTGGTTTAAGCCCTGCTGTTGTTACTCACCCAAGGCATTGTCTTCACTGAGGCAGGTAAGACGTGCTATCTTCTTTACAGTACTTTGTAATAAACGTGTTGCCACTGGAATACTAGAAATGGAAAAGTCATTTTTCCTTACGTAAGTAAATAAAGTTGCAAAACTCTCAGACCTTGTATATTTACCATCAGGAGCCTATCTCCCCTTTAGGTACCTGATGAAAATCTTGTTTCCTGCGTTAGTGTCACAGACCTTCTGAAATTTTACCCCTGCCAGCTGGTGTTATTACCCAATATACTTCTACTCTTCACTTTTATTAAGAACAGAGGAGGTCAGGCTTAGGCTAACCCATCTATTTTATTCTTATTCAAGTTACCTTCATGCAAAATTGTCTACCCATGAAGAAAGTAAGTCATGTGAGGAAGTTTTTTTAGTGGCCAGTCTTCAGCAGCTGGAGTTTTGATGTGTTTGAGACCAAAGTCCTACTTTGCATTTTGTTATTGAAGATGTTTAAACCAAAGCATTGATTCTGACCTATTAATTATTAACAAGCATATCAATATCCACCTCATCAAGACTGTGAGAAATTAGTGTGAGAAAGGTGGTGTCACTAGAATGGAAAAATCCTCTTTCTCTTCTCCAACGAATTCCAAATCTTTGCATTGCATTGCATCTGACAAGAGCCCAGTGCGACGCCATTCACTTGTTCATTATTGCTGGAATTTTGATCAATCTCCAGTTACCTGGTGGACTGCTGACCATGACCTGCCATGGTGCCTCCAAGGACCAGATGCATTGGTGAGACATTTGTGGCCAGAACTGACCAGTGACTCAACGCTGGGTCTTTGGAAGGATCAGGATGGAGGCGAACCCCAGCACCACTCAAGGGAAGCCAGAAGAACTTCCTACATTTCTTGCAATAACTTGTTAAATCAAATAAGGTCTAATCCCCATTGACTGAAAGAGAGAGAAAATGAGGCTATTTTAGTACACAAACTTGCCATATCCTTCAACACGTTTGGGGACAACGCAGTTACCCTGACTTCAAGAGCTCGGGGAGACTGTTCAGGAAGGAGGATGGGTGTTGGACACAGTGTCAGCCCCAGAAATGATAAAGACTTTCTGAGTGAAGAACTGCAACACCATGCGCAAAGTCCTGGGAGAGGGAATTTTGAGCAACAGCAGCACCACAAAGCTCCTCATAAAAAAGAGCCACAGAACACTGTCAGTCCGATAGGGCTTTGAAAGTCTTTTGCAAAAGAACCTCCACAGACTTTAGGGTTTTTTTAATTCATTTAGAGACTTGTGTTGATGCCACAGGAGTCTGAATGTGCACTTCCAACTACCTTTGAACTGCTTCCTGATGAGGGCTTTGAAATTTAAACTGGACATTCATGGGGAGCAATATATAGATTACTGAACACAGCTCTACAGAAGTCACCATCACCATCTGCATCAGAAGCGTTGCGAGGGAAAGCAGGCCCCCTCCTCAACCACCGCAGGTCAGAACCCACCGTATTAATATAAACCACCACAGTTTTCAAGTCACAGGGTATATACCAGGCTGTGAAGTGCAGCAGCTCATGAGAAGATGATAACCTCTGAGTAGAATGGCTGGTTAGGAGCAGGAATCTCTTAAATCATCCCAGTACAAATTACCAAACCTCCTGAGTCAGAGCCTGCAGCCTGTTAATTAAGCCTTTCCCTTGATTATGGTAACTGAAACTGCTGTTTCTTGCCTAGCCACATATTTATGTGTATATAAAGTAAATATGTGACTACACAAATCTTCCTGAAGAAGCTTTTATAGCATATGCCAAAATATTCAATCTCATTTTCACTTTCTCTTTTTCTTTTTTCTTGTTTTCTTTTTTCTTTTTATTTTTCTTTCTTTTTCTTTTCCTCTTTTTCTTTTTTCTTTTCTTCTTGCTCACTTTCAGTCTTCTCACAACAAATACACATTTTATTAAAAGTGTGATCTTTTCGTGGGCTAAAATATATAACGAAAGATAGATATATGTAATATATACGATATTATATCTTGTAATATTACATATTATAGCATAACTGACATAACATATATAATATTTTAAAATAGATGCATACACACACACAAACATGTATGTATGTATGCGTATAAAAGTTCTATCACAATTCTGCAAGATTTTTCATTACCAGGTAGAAAAAAGACTCAGCGGGGGAAGAGCAGTGAGAACTCCATTCACTAGCATGAATCCTGTTTTTGTCAGGCTACCTCTTGCTGCTAAGGTCACTACCCTTTGACAAAAATGGCCTCTGACCTCCCCAGCCCCACAATTCTGTTGTGACTGACCCTGAAACCCATGAAATTCAGGGGCAGACATTGCTTTGGAAGGTTTAGATAAAGCTGACTAACATGGGAAGGGCTCATGGTATGCACCCATCTGAAAAGGTCTGGCAGTTCTTTGGTAGAGGATGTAATTTATTCTGTCCCACTCTTTCACTGAAATCCTAATCCTTCATATGGTACCTAAAGTGGAAACTAAAACGCACTGATGATGCATAACAATGTGCCTTTAAAAGGCAGTAACAGTTTCCTAGTCTTTATTTTTTAGGTTTTTTAATTAAAAAAATTTAATTGGCTATGTACAAGTAAAATGAGTGTTCTGCTGTGCTGTGAAGTAAATCTAAGCAGGCTTATGCTTTATTATAGAGTTGTAAAGCAAACAAGCAAAGGATTATTTTTACTGGGTTTCTCTCAAAAGCTGCATTAGTACATGCATGGACCTGACTCAGAAGAAATGGCTACGCACTTTGGGATGGATTTTGTTACTCCTTGCAGTCCAATAACCGTGGTGTTCTGGTCTTGTATCTCCGTTCAACCCATTGTGGCAAGAAACTCCTACCTAGAAAATTCAGATCCTAGTTTGGCTCTGCGTCTTAAACACACACAGGCATACACCAACACATCTCAGCACCTTCAGCACTTGTTTGTGAGATGAAAGGTTTCTGTTCATGACCACAAAGTACCTCCTGAATTGCTGCTGAAGGAATAAATACTTCAAGGAGAGACTGACCACAGCTCCCTCTGAATTTTTATTACCGTGGTTTTTGTTAACTTCAATATATGGTTTCTGCTATCTGGACAGTGAATTTTGACTATAGGGCACCCTGAGTACAGAAATATTACATATCTTCTCAAGGTACTTTAAACCTATGGTCTGGCAAAGCAGGTGCAGCCCACCCTTCCCTCCTGATACCGCCAAAACAAAACATGGCAGTGGCGTGGCACCAGCGTCTCTGCTCCACACCACCCTGGTTGCTCACACTCACATCAACACTTTCCAAAAAATATATTGACCCCTCTGTGAAAGGATACATGGGCGGTTCTGGGAAAGCAGACAGGCTGTCCCTCAGACAGCGGGTTTTGTCTCCAAATGGAAATGGAGAATTTTTGTGTACCACCACCACTCTGGTGGCTTGGACTTGCGAAAGGGGGGTTTGTTTTGCTGCCAGGCGTTATGGGGAAGCCTGACTTCAGTCAACATACACAGACTTTGCCTGCAGTGGAGGCCCAGCGACGCT